TTACTTTTTTTACTATGAAGGCAACCCCATTTTTTCTTATCTTTTCATCTCCGAAGTAATATGGTCATCTGACTCAAAATGCCCCATGCCATTCCATCTCATCTCTCCAATGCCTAATATGTCAATGTTTATGCGTTCTATTTCTTTCTTAACAATTTCTAATTTTCCTTCCTTCATGGCTCTCACATTCCATGTTCCAATCACTAGGGTCTGCTTACAACTGTTCCTCCTCCTTTGTCTTTCCATACTTGATCTGCCTAGGTTGCCCTTTCTGTTAGTCTGCATGTGTTTGATGCATAGGACCTTCTAAATATTAAATCTCTATGGACATCAAAAACCTATAGACAGGGAACAAACATTTAATAATACCATCTCCTGGGCCTCCACAAGAAAAAGACTGATAACCCAATTACAAAATGAGCACTTGGAAAGAATTTTCACAGAGGAAGATATTTGAATGGCAAACAGACACATGAAGAAATGCTCCAAATCACTGAAAGATGCAAATCAAAACCACAATGAGGTACCATCTCACTCCAGTAAGAGTGGAAAAGTTTAACAGGGCAGCAAGTAATAGATTTTGGAGAGGATGTGGCAAGAAAAGAAGTCTTGTACAGCAAGTAATAGATTTTGGAGAGGATGTGGCAAGAAAAGAAGTCTTGTACATTTTTGGTGGGATTGTAAAATTGTGCAACCATTCTGGAAGGCAGTTTGGCGCTACCTCAAAACGCTGAACATAGACATTCCATATGACCCAGCTATTTCACTACTTGGAATATACCCTGAGAATTTGAGAACTGAGGCACAAACTGAGATTTGTACACCAAAGTTCATAGCAGCATTATTCACCATTGCAAGAATATGGAAACAGCCAGTATGTCCAACCACAAACCGATGGATTGAGAAATTAAGATACACTTACATAATGGAATATTATGCAGCACACAGGAATAATAACTTTGTAAATTATTATTTAACTTGGGAGGGACTAGATAGAATTGTGCTGAGTGAACTAACTCAGTCCCACAAGGATAAATATTGTATAAAACAGTTAATATAGAATGAGTATAAGGATCCAGTAGGGGTGGCAGAAGCTGAAGGCAGAGGGATCTGGATGTGAAGGGGGTGGGGGGATTAATCATTGGCTTGTACAATTTGATGGGTGCTGGGGTCAGGGAAATTGAAAGAATTTGTTTGAATTTGTATTCGAGTTTAGTAAATAAACTAGTGGGAAAAAAATTAAAACAATAAAATGCTCAATAGCAAGGATGTATGTTTAAAGACTAAAATGTGCTGGACCCAAACCACGATATTTTCAAATGCTTTGTCTTAATGTAAGAATTAGACAATAAATGTACAAGAGTGGGAAACAATTTATACTTTAAGTTGTCGTTTTGGGGGGAGAATATCAAATATACCATGCGGAGACTGCCAAAATAGCAAACAAATCTGTCTTGGAAGAAGTTTAATCAAGGTGTTCCTGGAGGCAAGGATGGTGAATCTTTGAGTCTAATACTTTGAGCATGTTGTTGGGAGGGGTTAATCTTTGGAAGAAAGACATCATGTATGGAAAAGTAGAGGACCAAAGAAAGCAAGGAAGTCTATCTACCAGATGAATTGACACAGAGAATGCAACAACAGGTACGAGTATGGCTGGGATTGTGAGGATGTTGCAGGATAGGGCAAGATTCCATTTAGTAGGCATATAACAAGAGTTTGACAAGGAAAGTGCTATTTTTGGCTAGCAAGTACTCATTAAAGGAAGAGTCTTTGAAGTACTTTCAAAGAGAGATCCTACACTTGAAGCTAATTTCAAGAATCAAGTATAGCTTGTAATTCTCCAGGTATCAAATAGAAATCCAGATATACAGTATTCAGAAAGCTCTAATGGATTTTTCTGAAAACGTATTTGCTATCTGACAGCTTTTATTGGTCTTGTCCCAAATGCTACAGATCTCACAACAAAATTGCATCATAAAATGACCTGTAGTCTTTCATATATCTTCAGAAAGGAAAACACAGTCTCCATGCAATCAAGTGCTTTCTGAGCATTAGATCTTTAATAGAAATCTTTGAATTTCACTGAAAAACTCAGAACTCAAAATGAATATTTAACTAATGTCATTTGTTTACTTAAAACATTACATGAAGCACCTATCCACTGTATAAAGATCTAGTATTTTCACTTATACAGCTGATAATTTAGAAGAAGTTTAAAATTTTAAATTTTCTATTTTAGAATTACATAAAATATATGTGTAATTAGGGAAACATAGGATAGTGTAAAAAAAAGAACTTTCCTGTGTTGTTTGTGGTTCTTTTGTTTGTTTGTTTGTTTGTTTTTTACAAAGACCACAGATATAAATTGTTGCCAGCTACATCCTCCTCTCATACTACACTAATATATTTAAACTAGGATTGCATTTTTAAAGATTAACATAGCATGCTTTTGAAAATGCCTAGCATGAACTGAGAACATATATGGCACAGGTAAATTGTATAATGTGTGCACTATTTCTGTTATCTACTGTACTTTGTAGAATGTGAAGGTTCTTTCAATATCACTTCAATAAGTTTTACATAATCTGACCAATCTTTCCCCCATATTCCAAGGTATTTTCTCATTCTAAATTAGTTTCTGAAAGAACTCTGTTTTACATGTTAGATCTGTCTTGCAAACATAAAATCTAGCAAACTATAAGTCAAGAGGTTGGTTTTCATATCCAGATTATTAGACAATTTACAACATGCAATAAGATATTTTATTCAATCTATATGTTAAGTACATGTTGTTTTGTTGTTAGGTGCCATTGAGTCAAGTACAACTCATAGTAACTCTGTGAACAACAGATCTAAACTCTGTCCAACCTGTGCCATCCTTACATTTCCTGAGCTACTAGAGCCCATTGCAGTAGTCACAGTCAATCCATTTGTTTGAGGATCTTCCTCTCCTTAGTCAACCCTCTACTCTTCCAAACACCATGTATCTCTACAAGGAATAGTCCCTCCTAGAGCATACTAAAAGTACATATCATCCTTGCCTCAAGAAGCACTCTAGCTGCACCCTCTCCAAGACATACCTGTTTGTTCTCTTGGCCATCCATGGAATATTCAGTGCTCTTCTCCAACACTACAGCTCAAAGGCGTCAATTCAATTCGTTCTGTTATTCCTATTTATTATCCAGCTCTCAGACGCATAGCAAGTGAGCAGAAAGACCATAGCCTGAATCAGATGCACCTCAGTCCTCAAACTGATATCATTATTCCTCAATAATTTGGAGAGGTCCCAACTGCAGAATTTCTCAGTGCAATGTCTCCTGACTGAAATCCACTTCCTAAATAACATGCCTCCAGAAACTCTATGAAATTTTATAAATGTCAATGGTTGTAGAGGGACTTTAGGCCTTTTATTCATTGGGTCACTTTAACTTGGGCTTTACTTGGAGGCAATCAACAACATCAAAAACAGCAACAAATACCAAGGGTATTAATTTTGCATCCAAGTAAGATGAAGTTGTTGACATTTTCAATTTCTTCTCCATCCATCATGATGTTGTCTATCAGTCTAATGGTAAGAATCTTTGTTTTCTTGAAATTGAGATGTGATCTATATTGAAGACTGCATTCCTTGATGTTCTGCATTAAGTGCTACAAGTATTTCTCACTTTCAGCAAATAAGTTGTGTCATCTTCACAATGCAGATACCTCTTTTAAAAGACATAAATGACAACTTTACAGATAAATCTTACCTGATAGACTGCACAGAAATCAGATTGATTCTATCTGTGGAAGAAATAATTGGAGAAGTTCAATATTTGCAGTCAAAACTAGGCCAGGGTAGACTGTGGGTCAGACCATCAAATACTCACATAGAAGTTTAAATTGAGGCCAAAGGAAATTAAAATAAGTCTATAATAACCAAGATATGACTTTCAATCCATTCTATCTGAATTTCAAGATGATCTTAGGAATAGATTTGAGATACTAAACACCAATGGTTGAAGAATTGTAGTTTTGAAACATTGAACACCAATGACTGGATGATTTGTGGAATAATATCAAGGATATCATCCATAAAGAAAGCAAAAGTTCGGTGGTTCGAGTAGGTTTCTGAACCCGAAGGTGCTGCTATGGCTTCTGGTGGGGTCGGCGTGAACGCTGCGAGATCGACAAATGAAACTCCCGAAATCCCAGACAAGGTAGGAGATTGGCTTCGAGCCGTCTACCGCTTCGCCACCGATAGAAATGGTTTTCGGAGGAATTTGATCCTCAATTTGGGACTTTTTGCTGCAGGAGTTTGGCGGGCCAGAAATTTGAGTGACATTGACCTAATGGCACCCCAACCAGGGTTGTAGCCAAGAAGGTTTTTCTTTAAAAGTTAAAGGACTTTTCCATCATCACCAAAAGTCCTCACCAATCGTGCTGACTTAAAATGCGCATCTAGAGAGTAAAACTTCACAACAGAGCCTCTGGCAGCATGGGCGGCTGGGACACTTTAAAACAGTGTCCAGGAGAGGATGGGCCCGGGGCAAAGCTTGTACAAAGAAGCCTGCAGTAGACAATATAAACCAAACAGCATAAAAAATGCCATACGCTATCGCTTCCAAATAAAAGCTGAATATTACAGAAAAAAAAAAAAGAATGCAAAAGTTCATTACAAAAACAGAGGAGAAGGAAAAAGCTGAAATGGATCTCAGAAGAGATTCTAAAAATTGCACTAGAGCATTGAGAAGCCAAAACAAAAAGGAAAACATGCAAAAGTAAAAGAGCTCAACAGAAGATTTAAAAGGACAGCTTAAGAGGACAAAGAAAAACATTATAATGGAATGCGCAGAGAGCTGGAATTGGAGAATTAAAAGGGGAGATCCTGGATGAGATGAATTTTCTCAGTGACTGGGGTAATGGAGGCAGAAGTGTTGGAGACAATGATGTTGGCTCAAGATGGAGCCAAGTTCAGAGCTATTATACATAAGGTTGTTATGAGTCACATGGAACTGGGTGGCACTTAACAACAACAACAATTACTTAATTAATCACTTAATCTACTTAAATGTACTATTTGCAGCTAATTCATTGATTCCTTATTAAATAAGTAATTTTTTAAAGGTTGTTTGTTTGTTTTTATGGTGGCTTGTTTTGCTATGTTCCTTTGAGCTAAGAGTCAGTTCTGATACCACCATACACAACAACATAAATATCTGTTTCCCATTTGGGCATAAAAACTCAAGTTCTACTGACAAGCCACCTTTGGCTTCTTTTCAGTAAGCAATCCATAAATAAAACTTTTGTTATCATCATTATGGAAATCCTAGCCTGTTTTTTTTAAGTTTTTGTTTGTTTCTTAACATCTCAGGGGAAATTTAAATTTACTAGTGCCTAATTTTGGAAGCAGGATTGGCATCCACTTCCTAAATAACGTTCCTCTGGAAATGCTATGAACTACAATAAACGTTGATAGTTGAAGAGGGGCTTCAAGACTTTTGTCCATAGGGTCGCTATGAGTCCTGTTCGACTTGAAGACAATCAGCAACAATAGTCTGTACTGATAAGTTGAGTCAATTAGGAGTCTGAAGACAAGACTGTTAAAGGAAGGACAACTGTCAAGGGTAATCTTAGGAATTAACCATCTCAATGTGAGGATATTTCATTCATCTACTTTGAGTTAATTTCAAGGATCATTGACTTCCATGTGGGTGATTTGAGTCATTAATTGAGAGAGAATCCTAAGTGTTTGTTAGCACTCTAAGGGGTTATCTGGTCCATGTGCATCTATCGGAGAAAGTTAAGAGTTAGTGTGGACTGCTGTGTGAGTACAAGAATCCCAGAAAATCTTAGGTTCACACGGCTGTGGGAAATGACATATCTTCATAACTGTGGGAAAAGGAGTTTTAGTGGCCATGTGATGGCCCTACTGTGTGTGCTTTGACTGGCCACAAGCATCCAGTTTGCCATAAAAGAAACTGTAAAAGTATTATGAGTACTTTGGTTAGAAAGACATGAGCCACAGTCACGTGTGTGACATCACTGACATTCTGACTAGTTATTTGAATATTTTTTTAAACAAACTAACCCTAATTCACTGGCTTCATGTTACATCTGGTTCACAGCAATCATACATCTAGTTTCCAAGACTGTATATGCTAATGGGAAAAGACTGTCTATCCTAAGGAGTTGCTGGTGGAATCAAATAACCAAAGACATGCAGGCTTTGGTTTACCAGTGCAATGCACTACAATGTCCCTTAAGTAATTCCTTACATAAAACTACTGAATTATCATCATGGAGTTGTCTTGGCACTTCAAGGCAAATTTCAAATTACCATTTTTCCCCCAAAGAAACTGTTTTTTTGACCAGATAGAAACAGGATGAAGGTAGTTCTAAAGACATTATTATAATATAAATTTCTACGTAGATGTAATCTTCTAGAATGAAAATCTAATTTATAAGCAGCTAGATAGGAATTCTGGTAGCCTAGTGATAAGAAGCTGTGCTAGAATCTTGAAGACACACAGTTTGAATTTTGAATCTATCAGCAGATAGATCTGCTTCTCCAGATAATGCAGACACTCTCCTCCTGAGTGATTTATTGCCTCTGAAAATCTACTGAAGAGTCAGTGACGGGCCTATTCCAACTTGAAGGTACACACAAGAAGGTAGATAACAGGGAGGTATAGTGGCAAAGTGTCTATGTAATTGTGATGCTAATCCAAAAGAGGAGCCTCTCTAGTGGTTTGGATCTGCCAACTGCTCCACATGGGGGAAAAAAAAGATCAATTTCCTTCAGTGCCATTTACAACATCTGAAACTCATTGAGTCAGCTGTAAGTTGGTTTTAACTCAACAGCAATGAGTTTTGAAACATAACTATCATTAATTTTTCTCTGACTCATAGTTACATATAAGGCAATTTAATATTGCCCTGTCCTGTATCATTTTGACAATTACTCACATTTTCAAGACCATTGTTATGGCTATTGAGCAAAATCTTCTAATCAAGGGTTTCTTGGCTCTTTCTAGTTCTTTAATTCACCCTAAATTATGACCTTCTCAATGTTTCATCATTCCTGAAGATATGTCCAAGGTAAGCAACTCAGATAATATTGTGCTGTGATCGATAGCAATTTCATAGGAAACTTTTCAGAAGTAGATTGTTGGACTTCTTTCTAGTCTATCTTATTCTGGAGTCTCTTCTAGAACTTGCCACTAAGAATGATCCCACTTGTATTGAAATATAAATGACAAAACTTTCAACATTGCAACAACATGCAGGCCAAAAGAATTTGCAAGCCTATTCATGCAATAGACTTGGCTTCTAAATGTGTTTCTATTTTGTCTCTGATAATTTTTATGCTTTTTTGGTCTTACTTTAGGTCTCCGATCCAATTTGAGCTGTTTTTTGTGCATGATGGGAGACATGGGTCCTTTTTCATTTTAATGCAGATAAATGTCCAGTTTTGCCATGATCATTTGTCAAAGAGGCTGTTATTTCCCCATTTCATGAAACCCCCATTAGGTTTTATTTCTTTCTAAAATATCAATTAACACTTTTGTTTAGTTTTTGTTTCATTTGGTTTCATATTATCTCTTGTAGTAATGTTTTGTAGTTTTCCTTGTTAGGCCTTTTGTGTCTGTTATAAGTAATTTTTTCAATTTGTTGTGTAGCGAAAAATTACTAATGAGTAACTGATGCATTTTGAGGCATTGTTTCAAAATGTATTAAATGATTTAAAGTTTTCCTTTAATGAATTGAGTTTATCCTTCAAGCACCAACTAAGAAAACATTATCTTAGATTAACTGTAATTAATAAAATCCGTCAGAGAAGAAAGTGCACACTGTTCATTAATGAATCAGTTCTTGGCATATAGAATGTGCTCACTACACATCTGTAAAATAAATACAATCTAAAGACAATTCTTACAGGGGCAATTATGATAATTGGCATAATTATTGCTATTGTCACAATACTAACAGGGATATGAATACTGAAAATATCATCCTTTTAATAAAACAATAAAAATTAAATTTAAAAATTGAGAGCAAAGACAGTATATGTAGGGAAAAATTAGAGTGAAACACCAGAAATCAAAACATCTGAAGATTACTTTTAAAAAGAATATGTGTGTTTAGCAAAGTCTTTACATTTTCATCTTCTATAATAATACTTCTTTATGTCCTACAGAATAAATAAATAAATAAAAGTTGAAACATTTTTAAGAGTAAAAAGAGTGGGGATAGCATGAGAATGTCTACTTCTGACCTCTTTTAACTTTGTAAGAGGGAATTTCCTCATCAATAACATCCACAGTAGAAAACTAAAAAGATCTGACACAACTCACAAGCCACACCTTTATTTACTAATTCCAAAATCTATCAGACTGCTCTATTACAGTGTCCAAAATGCATTTCACTATCACAGAACCATACACACAGTTATGGAATTTACCAGGGAATTTAACAGGTTGTTAGAATTCAAGGCACAAAAGTTTACAATTCCTCAGCACAGACAGCTTCTCAGTCATGCTCATAGATCTTTTGTCCTTCAACCTCCTAGACAGTGTTACAAATTTTCCTTAGTCCTGCCAATGATGGCATTATCTCTCAGTCATGCAGCAAGCTTAAGGGAAAGCCTCTGCTTTCTCGTTTCATGGAGCAGCCTTTCCAAGTCAGCTCCATCTCATGTCAGTCTTTGGTTCTCTGTTGAGGCTTCTGCTGCTGCTGTCCTGTAAATCCTTTATTGACTGGTGCGGGAATCTCACGTTCTGAAGGATGCATGCTATACTTACTGTTACTTCTTCCTTTCCAGTAATAAGATTCCAATTCTTGTTGCTAAATTTGCTCAATTCTTGGTAGGATGAGACTGATCAAATTCATAATCATTTGTTTATTCACACTCTAATTCCCCAACCGCTCAAGTGGTGAAAGTCAAAGTGGATGTTTCTTAGGAAAGCCGTGTGAACAAAACCCATGGCACCACATGTGGCAACGCAGAAAAGATGTTTTCTTTATAGGGGAAATGATGACATGAAGGATATGTGGCAACTACCCTTCTCAAGCTTTAAAAAATTATACTATTATAATTTATTTCAAACATTATTTAATAAATAAATAAGTATTTTAAACATTATTTAATCACATGTTGCTTATAGGTTCCTTTATCAATATTAAAATCATACATTTGGACATGAACTACTTGGGAAACTAGAAAAGGATACACAATCTTGTATTTTCTTTTAAATACGGATGGAATTTTCAAGACAATACAAAGTTAGCCAGTTCTATTGAAAATATCTCCTGGGTATGGACATAACAGATTTTAAATGTTGGAGTATGATTAGAATGGAAGTGTGCTAGTTTA